CCCCCCCCCCCCCCCCCGGTACCAGTTGGCGCGAGGGGACCTGGCATGCAGGCGTTTGGCAAGTACGATCTTTCTATGACCCGAGCGGAGGTTTTTTCCCCCCGAGCGGAGTCTTTTCTGTTTCAGACTCTCTCCTTTTCCCCCTCACTCTCCGTAGAGGGTAGAGGGGGATCGCCTCCCACCCTGGAGTCTCTGATCCGTGCCCGATTTTATCTCCCCAGTTCGCACTCACTTTAGAAGGCTCTCTCAGTGGATTCTGCGTCCTTTTTCTCCAAATCTCTCAGGTTTTGTAAGGTTTCCAATGACTTCAGATCTTTTCTGTGTGATGTATGGGCCCGAGTGCAAGTACGGAGCTCCTTACTTCTCCGCCATCTTGCCCCCTCCCCCATTTACAATTGTACCAAAAATCAAAAGACACCTAGGAACAAACCTAACCAAAGATATAAAAGATCTGTACAATTAGTTTCCACATAACACTCAGTGCTCATCCCCATAAGTGCCCTCCTCCATGCCCATCCCTCCTCCCCCCTACATCCATCAGTCCTCAGTTTTTGTCAGCATTCAAGAGTCTCTCATGGTTTCCCTTTCTCCCTTTCCCCCACCATTTCCCCCCTTCTTCTCCCCCATGGTCCTCCGTTAAGTTCCTCCTAATCCTCCTATTTGTGCAAACATATGATATTTTTCCTTCTCTGCCTTTTTTCACTCAGCATAACACCCTCAAGGTCCATCCATGTTGCTACACATGGTCAGATTTCATTGTTTCTCATTGCCATGTAGTATTCCATGGTATAGATAAACCACTTCTTCTTGATCCATTCATCTGTTGATGGACACGTAGGCTCTTTCCATGTTTTAGCTATTGTGGAGAGCATAGCAGCACATGGAAAGAGCCTACGTGTCCATCAACGACGAATGGATCAAGAAGTTGTGGCTTATGTATACGATGGAATACTACGTGGCAATGAGAAAGAATGAAATCTGGCCACGTGTAGCAACATGGATGGACCTTGAGGGTGTTATGCTGAGCGACCTAAGTCAGTCAGAGGACAGATATCATATGTTTGCACAGATAGGATTAGGAGGAACTTAACAGAGGATCGTGGGGGAGAAAAAGTGGGGAATAGAGGGGGAGAAGGAGGGAGGCAAACCATGACAGACTCCTGAATGCTGAGAACAAACTGAGGACTGATGGGTGTGGGGGGGAGGGGGTGATGGGCATGGAGGAGGGCAATTGTGGGGATGAGCACTGGGTGTTGTATGGAAACCAACTGACAATAAACTATTTTTTTAAAAAAAAATCATGACTCATATTAGTCACAGAACAGACCCCAAGTTCGTTTGCTCTTCTTCCATTTCATAGATACTAAGAAGATAAAAAATATAGAATATCTACTAAAAAACTCCCCTCCTGCAGAGGCTTAATATAACAGTTGATAAAATTAGTTCCGTGAACTATTAAGGCTTGAGAATTTTAATCTACATAATGCAGGCTACCTAAAAACCATTATTCTTCACTGCTTAGTGAAAAGTATTTCTCTCAACTAAGGATGATAATTGGGAAAGGTGATGTTCTGTTGCTCTAGAAAAGGTTTCTTCATGATATAGAGAGAAGAGAAATGAGATGACTATACTGTGCCATAGATTTCCCAAATGCTTTTGTGTTCTGTTCTTTTATCTATGGAAGCTGAAAAATTTAGGCTTTGAGTAATTCTAGTTAGTGTTATCAAGCTCCATTTCTCCCAGTTCACAATGCTTCATTTTTTTTTAATTTAGGGGATGAAATAAAACACAAATTCTTGAAAAACATTTTAATATTACTTGACCAGCATAATGAAGGCACACCCATTAGATGTAATGGAATATATAAAATTAGGTATTCCTGGACCACAGAGAAAGAAGACTTATATCTCAGAAATCCTATCTCTTTTCTCTCAACTTGTTATTTATTCCTTCTCCAGCTATATCCTAGAAGAAGCTTTCAACACACTATATTACTGCCACCGCTTCCCCAACTGCCACCAGTTAGCCCATATAGTCTAGGTTAATTTTCTTTCAAAATTCCTTTCACATAATTGTCCTCCTCAAAAACCTACAATGGAGCAACATGGATGGACCTTGAGGGTGTTATGCTGAGTGAAATAAGTCAGGCAGAGAAGGACAAATATATGTTTGCACGTATAGGAGGATTAGGAGGAACTTAACTGAGGACCAAGGGGGAGGAGAAGGGGGAAATGGTGGGGGAAAGGGAAAGAGGAAAACCATGAGAGACTCTTGAATGCTGACAAAAACTGAGAACTGATGGATGTAGAGGGGAGGAGGGATGGGCATGGAGGAGGGCACTCGTGGGGATGAGCACTGGGTGTTATGTGGAAACTAATTTGACAATAAACTATTTGTAAAAATAAATAAATAAATAAAATTCTTAAGAAAAAAAAAAACCAAAAAAACCCAAAAACCTACAATGGTATCCTATTTCCTATCACATAATATCTAAAGTCTTCTGTCTAACTTTAAGACTATAATCTGCCTCCATTCTTCCTATCCAACTTTATTCTGTAATATTTCCCAAAGAGCAGATCCTCGCCCCTTAGGATAACTATGAAATTCATTTGCTCTTTCTTAGGGAAAAAGTTGAAAAGACAAGGAAAAGAAAACAGACACCAAAATCCCTAACAGCAAAAGTTTATTTATAGTTGAAGTTAAGGAAAAATTGTAATGCATGCTGAGAAATTAGTAATATTCCAAACTTATAGGTTACCATCCAATGAGGAATACAAGATGATGTTGGGAAAGGCTATGACATACACAACTATTAGAACCAGGTTATTGAAGCACACAATATTAGAACCTTGTTATCAGAACACTTACATAGCACATACTTTTATGTCACATCACATCCATGAACAGCTCATTTTCTAACTTCTCACTGGCTATTTTAGTAAATAGCATTTAAGGTTAAACATTAAGACTGGAGAGTAGGGTAGAAATACACAAGTCGTAAGCTTCACATTTCAGAGCCTACATATATGAACACAACATTAAGATTAATTAAGAAACAGCATTTCAAAAATTTTTGAAACACATTTGGCAATGTTTAGCGCATGAGGAGACACTGCTTTGGTCCATCCACTCTCTCCAGCTTTTCAAAGTGTTTCCTGGCATTGCGGATGTTGATCAGAGTAGCTGCAGAAGCTGAGGGTAGGGAGGGTAGGGGGTGGAGGAGATAGCCAACAGAATAAATACAGGCAGCCAAAGGAATATCTGACTAGTAAAAAAAATAAATAAATAAACAAAAGAGAGCAAAATCTCTCAAAATAGGTTACAGAGAACATACAAGAATAGGAGGTTCCAAGTTAACCATAATTTAATTTTCTGAATAAGTAGAAGATTTATTTATATTCTAAATACATTTCCAATAAAATATCAAAATCTTTTGGTTTGGTTCATTTTTAGAATAAAACCCATTATCTTATGTTGTATTTTAATATTAACCTAAAGTAGGAAAAGCCAGGGGATCAGAGATAATTTATTTAAACTTCTGGGAACATCCTCGAAATACTGCTAGAACCTTTATTTCAGTAGTTATAATAGATATAGTTGTTATGGCATGGAAGTATCAAATACATCCCTTTATGCCCATGGTACAAATATGCAAAAATGGTACTTAGGAATATACAATGACATATAAAATGGTTCAGCATTTAGTAATTCAGAGCTTAGATTGATTATTCTTTAAAAATTTATACTATATGAAGCATAAATAATACATGTGGGTTCTCTTTTCTTTAAAATCCCTAGATTTAGTATCTTTATTTCTGAAGTCTCATGAAGTAAAAACAAAATACCCTGGAATCTAAATTATTTTTAAGCTCTAAAATATAAGTTTAGTAAACAAAAAAACTATTTACTACTTGTACTAAAATAGCTTTTTTATTGTGGTAAATAATACATAACAAGAACTTTACCATTTTATCCATTTAAAAATATATAGGTCACTGGCATAAAGTATATTCCCACTGCTGTACAACCATCCCCGCTACAAAATGTTTTTTCATTATCTAATAAAGTACTACCTCTAGGGTAATTAGTTTAAAGAATGAGGCTTTAAACCTATGTCAGCTAAGTTTGAACTTACGAATGGATGGATCAGACATCACGACCATCACATAAGTGTTGGATGTAAAGATATCAATGAAAGCAGCAAAGTTAGAGTTCCTGACTTCCATGCTCTGGAAAGAAGCAGCTAGCTTGCTATAGGAGAAATGAGAAAAAGAAGTAAAGAACATAAAATAATAGCAATATAAAAAATTCTTACTTTTTATGTTAAACATTTAATAGCATTATACCTTGATTCACCACTTCATTAAGACAGTTAATCACTAACTTCACTTTGTTTTCCAAGGAAACGCTAATGCTAAATTTCCTACGTTTTGGAAAATGATTTAGACAGAAAGTGGATTAGGACTTGATATTGACTGTGGAATGGGCTTAGACCCAGATCCATGTTAAATAACAGATTACAAAAGAGTTCCTTAATATTTAAGAAGCTTAGGTTGAAATTATCTATCATTGTGCTTAATAATTATTTTTTGAGTGTTCTTTATACTGAAATTTGAGAAATGATCCCATTTATTTAAAAACAAACAAGGTAATTATATATGCATGCCATTTGCTATTTCTTCTTAAAGATGTTAGCATAAACATACCAGTAAGTCTCACAGTGTGCTAAGACATAAAAAGAGTAAACTTATACTTGCTCTACTGTTTAGGCATCCAAGTTGAATAATAAAAAAAATTTAATTACATCTTTACTAAATTATAATGTTCAGCCATTTCTTCTTCCTCTATTCAAACTGCTATGATTTTTTTTTAAAATTGTTTAACTTAGTTTTGGGAGAGAGAGAGAGTGTGTGTGAGCAGGGGAGGGTCAGGGAGAGAGGCAGACACAGAACCTGAAACAGGCTCCAGGCTCTGAGCTAGCTGCCTGCACGTAGCCCGACACAGGGCTCGAACCCACGAACCCTGGGATCATGACCTGAGCCGAAGTTGGACGCTTAACCGACTGAGCCACCCAGCCACCCCCACAATGCTAAGATTAAAACTGTGTTTAATCAAAGGTGAGACAACATGATTAGACATTTCCAGTCACTATTCTGTAACATTCCTGAATCAGTAGCTCACTAATATATTTATTTTTAATTTATTTTTCATTTTATTTTTTTACAAATAGTTTATTGTCAAGTTGGTTTCCATATAACAACCAGTGCTCATCACCACAAGTGCCTCCCTCCATGCCCATCAACCCCCTTCCCCCCAACACCCATAAGTCCTGTTTGTTCTCAGCATTCAAGAGTCTCTCATGGTTTGCCTCTCTCCCTCTCCCTAGCTATTTCCCCCTTTTTCTCCCCCATGATCCTCCATTAAGTTCCTCCTGATTCTCCTATATGTACAAACATATGGTATCTGTCCTTCTCTGCCTGACTTACTTTGCTCAGCATAACACCCTCAAGGTCCATCCATGTTGCTACACATGGCCAGATTTCATTCTATCTCATTGCCATGTAGTATTCCATCGTATAGATAAACCACATCTTCTTGATCCATTCATCCGTTAATGGACACTTAGGCTCTTTCCATGTTTTAGCTATTGTGGAGAGTGCTGCTATGAACATTGGGGTCCATGTGCTCCTATGCATCCGCAGTCCTGTATCCCTTGGGTAAATTCCTAGCAGTGCTATTGCTGGGTCATAGGGGACTTCTGGTGTAAATTTTTTGAGGAACCTCCACATTGTTTTCCAGAGGGGCTGTACCAGTTTACATTCCCAGCAACAGTGTAGGAGGGTGCCTGTGTCTCCACATCCTCGCCAGCATCTAGAGTCCTCTGATTTGCTCATTTTAGCCACTCTGGCTGGTGTGAGGTGGTATCTCAGTGTGGTTTTGATGTGTATTTCCCTGATGAGGAGGGATGCTGGGCATTGTTTCATGAGTTTCTTGGCCATCTGGATGTCCTCTTTGGAGAAGTGTCTGTTCATATCTTTTCCTCATTTCTTCACTGGGTTGTTTGTTTTTTGGGTGTGGAGTTTGGTGAGTTCCTTATAGATTTTAGACACTAGCCCTTTATCTGATATTTAATTTGCAACTATCTTTTCCCATTCCTTCGGTTGTCAATTAGTTTTATGGATTGTCTACTTTGCCTTGCGGAAACTTTTAATACTGATGAGGTCCCAATAGTTTATTTTTGCTCTTGATTCCCTTGCTTTCAGGGATGTGTCAAGTAAGAAATTGCTGCGGTGGAGGTCCAGGAGTTTGCTTCCTGCTTTCTTCTCTAGGGTTTTGATGGTTTCCTGTCTCACGTTCAGGTCCTTTATCCATTTTGAGTTTATTTTTGTGTATGAGAAAATGATCTAGTTTTATTCTTCTGCATGTTGCTGTCCAGTTTTCCCAGCACCATCTGTTAAAGAGGTTGTCTTTTTTCCATTGGATACTCTTTCCTGCTTTGTCAGAGATTAGTTGGCTGTATATTTTTGGGTCCAATTCTGAGTTCTCGATTCGATTCCATTGGTCTATGTGTCTGTTTTTGTGCCAGTACCATACTGTCCTGATGATGACAGCTTTGTAGTAGAGGCTAAAGTCTGGGATGATGATGCCTCCCGTTTTGGTTCTTCTTCAATATTACTCTTGCTATTCGGGGTCTTTTGTGGTTCCATACACATTTTAGAATAGTTCTAGTTCTGAGAAGTATGCTGGTGCAATTTTGATTGGGATTGCATTGAATGTGTAGATAGCATTGGGAAGTAATGATATTTTAACAATATTTATTCTTCCAATCCATGAGCATGGAATGTTTTTCCATTTCTTTGTGTCTTCTTCAATTTCCTTCATAAGTTTTCTATAGTTTTCATCATGCAGATCTCTTATATCCTTGGTTAGGTTTATTCCTGGTACTTTATGGTTTTTTGTGCAAAATTGTGAATGGGGTCAGTTTATTGATTCTCTTTCTGTTGCTACATTGTTGGTGTATAAGAATGCAACCGATTTCTGCACATTGATCTTGTACTCTGCAACTTTGCTGAATTCTTGGATCAGTTCTAGTAGGCTTCTGGTGGAGTCTGTCGGGTTTTCTATGTAGAGTATCATGTCTTCTGCGAAAAGTGAAAGTTTGACTTCTTCTTTACCAATTTTGATACCTTTGATTTCCTTTGATGTCTGATGTCCGATGCTAGGACTTCCAGCATTATGTTAATCAAAAGTGGTGAGAGTGGACATTCTTTTCGTGTTCCTGATCTCAGGGGGGAAGCTCTCAGTTTTTCCCTGTTGAGGATGATGTTAGTTGAGGGCTTCTCATAGATGGGTTTTATATTGTTTAAGTATTTCCTTCTATCTCGACTTTCTCGAGAGTCTTTATTAAGAAGGGATGCTGTATTTTGTCAAATGCTTTTTCAGTATTTATCGACAGGATCATATGGTTTTTATCTTTTCTTTTGTTGATGTGATGTGTCCCAGTGATTGATTTTCGAATATTGAACCAGCCCTGTAACCCAGGACTGAATCCCACTTGATCTTGGTGGATGATTCTTTTTATGTGCTGTTGGATATGATTTGCAAGAATCTTGTTGAGGATTTTTGCATCTGTATTCATAAAGGATATTGGCCTGCAGTTCTTTTTTTTTTGCTGGATCTCTGTCTGGCTTGGGAATCAGAGTGATGCTGGCTTCATGAGATGGG